AATAAAGGAACTTTTATATTTTATTTGTTATTCTGAATAGATTGTATGAATTTCTACATACGCAAGCAAAATCAACGGTTACACAAACATTTGAGCATGAAGTTAGTGGTTCATATCCAAGTAAAGGTAATGATGTTATTAAATCAAATGTTGTTTTAATACTTTTTCATAACACAATATATTTACAATATTCTTTATTTTTTATCAATTTTATAGACAGCAAAAATGCTAGGCAGAGACGCAAAAGCATAATGGATCGGAAGAAAAATTCTGAGCAATTTGTCAAGTCCCTAAATATCAGTAAAATGAGTGATTTAACCAGTAAGTTATCAACGACTATAAAAACATCTTTGTAGTATACTATTATTTTAAATTTATTATAGCATTCGTATTTTTACAATACAAGAATTATTATCACTATTCTGATATAATTGTTGTGATAGGAATTGATATGACGAATGATGAATCAATGCGTTCAACTGATGGGCCTCCCATATGTGCAGAGAACTCTATATCACAGTATGCTGATACAAAATTAAACTTTTTTTATATTCAGTTATATATATATATATATATTAAATAAATGTTTTATAAGGATGATTCCTGTTCTCATATTTTTTTAATTTTTTTTATATAAGGATGGAAATCTCTTCTCCAATTGATTATTGTCCACGATTAATTTCAGGTGATTTGTTTTTCATTTTTTAAATTTAATTTGCCAATTATGATATTCTTTGTAACAGACTTTCTGTATTAATGCATTTGTTTAGATTATTGGGATGTGGGTGATCCCACTTATGTTTGTAAACATTGTGGAGCACAAATGTGGTACGAAGAGAGAATTAAGAAAGATCGTAAGGCTACCGTTCCTGAGTTTAGCATGTGTTGCGCCAATGGAAAAGTTAAACTTCCTTTGTTAAAAAAAGCTCCTGAAACGTTGCTTGAACTGCATGATAATTCAAGTATAAGGAACCGCCATTTTTTACAAAATATCTGTCTGTATAACATGCTTTTCTCCTTCACATCCTTAGGGGGAAAAGTTGATGGGTCAGTAAATGATGGTTCGGGTCCTTACTGTTTTAGAGTTGGAGGACAAGTTTATCATGCAATGGGCAGCCTTCTTCCCCTTGATTTTCATACTCCAAAATTTGCTCAACTTTATATATATGATACTGAAAATGAAGTTGAAAACAGATTGGGATTCCTAAGGTATATAAGTTGATTTAATTTTTTAAATATTCATTTATGAATCATATTATAATTCCTGAATTTAAGCTAATGTCTGTTATTTAATTGTTTAATACAATTTACAGATCAAACAATAATGAAGATTTGCTCGATCAAAGCATTGTCCTATCATTGAAGGAGATGTTAGATAAACACAACAGTATTGTCCAATCTTTTCGCTATGCTAGAGACCGTTATAACGAAGATCAACTCAAAGGCGTGAGATTGAGGCTTATTCGAAAGCGTGGCAATGATGGAAGACTTTATAATCTTCCTTCCGCATCTGAAGTAGCTGTTTTAGTTGTTGGAGATATAGACACCGCGATGGGTGATAGGGACATCATTGTTGAGACACAGGATGGAGTTTTAAAGCGCATTGATGTTAAACATCCATTATATTTGGGTTTGCAGTATCCTTTGTTATTTCCTTACGGTGAAGATGTTTATCGCGATGATGTCCATCGTAATTCAATTTCTACTGGTAGGACAAACCCAAGATCAACTATCAGCATTAGAGAATTCTTTGCATTTAGACTTCAGATCAGATTGGAGAGTCCCAAGTTCTCCATCAATCTAGAAAACTTTTCCAACAGTTCTTGGTTGATGCTTATACAATGATTGAGCACGAACGTCTTAATTTCATTCGTTACAATCAGGCTAATCTCAGAGCTGATTTGTACGAAAATGTAGTACATGCGTTTGACATAGGAGAAGATACAGCGGTCAAAACAGGCAGGCGTATTATTATACCTTCTTCTTTCACGGGCGGCCCAAGATATATGGCAGAAAATTGTAAGGATGCATTTGCAATTTTCCGTTGGGCTGGATATGGGTTTTTCTTTCTTTATGGGTTTGGAGGCACAGGAAAAACATTTATATGGAATACTTTGTCTGCATCTGTTAGATCAAATGGAAAAATTGTACTAAATGTTGCTTCGAGCGGAATTGCTTCCCTTCTGTTGCCTGGAGGACGTACAGCACATTCCAGATTTCGTATTCCTATTCAGATCAACGAAGATTCAACGTGTAACATAAGCCAAAATTCTACTCTTTCTGAGTTGTTGTCGAAAACAAGCTTAATTATTTGGGATGAGGCCCCAATGGTACACAGATTTTGCTTTGAGGCTCTTGATAGAACACTTAGAGATGTTCTTAGATTTTCTAATCCGAGTTTCTGTGATAATCCATTTGGTGGAAAAGTTGTTGTTTTAGGAGGTGATTTCCGGCAGATTTTACCTGTGATTCCTCATGGTAGCAGACAGGATATAGTTCATGCCACTATTAATTCGTCTCATCTTTGGCCGCATTGTAATGTATTGACTCTGACCAAAAACATGCGTCTAACTTCAGGAAATAGTAATCAAAAATTGATGGAAATAAAGAATTCTCCGAATGGCTTCTTAAAATAGGAGATGGTGATCTTGGAGATGATGTGGACGGGGAATCTATTATAACAATTCCAGATGCACTATTGATCAAAGAATCGGAAGATCCACTTTCAGATTTGGTTGATTTTGTGTATCCGAATATGTTGAATCATATTTTTTATCCTGCTTTTTTCAAAGAACGTGCCATTTTGACTCCTAAATTGGCAGATGTTGCTATCTTAAACGAGCGGCTTATGAGTTTTATTCCGGGTGAAGAACGAACATATTTCAGTTCAGATAGTGTTTTGAAGCAAGATGGAAATTCTGAGCTAGAGGATGTTGAATTCTCTCCTGAGATTTTAAATACCTTCTCATGTTCCGGACTTCCTAATCATAAATTAACTTTAAAGGTTAATGTGCCGGTTATGCTTTTGAGAAACATTGATCAATCAAATGGGTTATGTAACGGCACAAGACTGTTTATTTCTAGATTAGACAACCATGTTGTTGAGGCAACTGTTATTACAGGATACAATATAGGAGAAACTGTCTTAATCCCTAGGCTCACTGTCAGCTCGTCTTCATATACGTTTCCTATAAATTTCCAAAGAAGACAATTTCCCTTGGTGGTTTCATTTGCAATGACGATCAACAAGAGTCAAGGACAATCGCTTTCTCATGTTGGAATTTATCTTCCTAGACCTGTTTTTACTCATGGACAATTATATGTGGCGCTATCAAGAGTAAAGAGCAAACAAGGATTGAAGATTCTTATATTTGATGATAATGGTTGTGTTACAAATAGTACCTATAACATTGTCTATAAAGAAGTAGTTGATTTGATTTCTTTTTGCAGTTCACAAACTTGAATGCATTTATGATGAAAAAATCTTTTTATTTTTTTTAATTTCGTGCATGTCCTTCTGATTTTTTTTACTTATGATTCCGGATAAAGTTATGCTATATTTTTTTAATTATTTTTATATATTTTTAAATGTCGTTAATGTTATATATTTTTTTTTCTTTTTTCAGATTATGATGTGCATTGCTTACAGAACCATCAAAGCAATTAGGAGTAAATTCAATTGGTGGTACAAATCCTATAAGAAATGCCTCTATTATGTTTGTGAAGATTTTGACAGATTGTTTTGTAATAACTGCCAAAAACATTAGAGTGATGACCAACCAAAGTGAGTTATTTTGTCCAACGAAATTTTCTGATTTTTAATGTTTTGTTTTACTACATAATTGAAACTGATAATTTTTAAGTAGTCATTTCATATTTTGTCGAACATCTTATATATGTGTAATATTTTGGCTGATTGTTTATGTGATAACAATTCCCGTACCTATAGTTATATAAGTTAATAATTTTTATTAAACGTCAATTCATTTAGAAGGATGCGACAAGATTCGATCGACAACCGACTGAAATTTTTTTCCCTCCGTGCAGCGCACGGGTAAATAACTAGTTATATTTGAAATATCCCGTCCAATAGAACAATATTTAGTAAACTTTTATTTTAAAAAATATAAACCTTATTTTGAGGTAATTATTTCGATATGCCTATAGTTGCCCCGATAAGATTCTATACACAACACTCTCACTAATAGTATTAGAATAATTTATTTTACTACGATCTTTATAAAAAAAACAAATAAAATAATTCACATGCCTATATGAGGAATTATTTTACAGACTCGTTCAAAAACTCATTATCATTTATGAACGGTTAATTTTTTTTTCACAATTAGATCATTTAAAATTTTATTTTTTTCAGCTATTTATTTAAAATGAAAACAACACTGCTACAATAATCAAACAATTGTATTAATATTTATGTATTTATTTATGGGATAGTATATTGTAACAACCAAATAATATTACTAATAATATTGTTATCATATCTTAATCGTTGATTTTCGTCAATCAACGATTATCATTTATTGCGAATTAATATTTAATTAATGAATTTGATTGCGAAAATAATAATCATTGTTCGGCAAAAAATCAACGATCAAGATATTGTAGTAATATTGACAGTAACATTATTGGGTAATAATAATGGGAATAACATCTATCCTTTTAAAGGATATAAACTTGTATCATTTTAAATCTTAACCGTTGATTTTCGTCCATCAATGATTATAATTTATTAGATTAAAATTATTAACTAATTAATAATAAATTTAGCCAATTAAGTTTGGCCCAATAAAAAATAGAATAAATATTTCCAATCATAATACGTGCGAGTTTGGGGTCAATCACTGTGCGTGGCTAAAAGCTATTTGTTAATTGTTATGATTGGCACGGACATACTGCAAAATCGCACGTGCATTGACCACTAAGACTTGGAAGCTTCGGAGGAAAGGTCAAAGTGGCCCTCTGTCCTCTATCCTTGGTAACAAGCCCTAATCTTTCTTCTGTTCAAACTTCCGAAGCAAACCTTGTACTGCAGTGATCCAATAATAACAACCCCAAGCCCCAATTCATATTATTAGGTTTTGCATTCTCTTCTTTTACTTCAAATTCCAAATAGTTTTTATTTTTATTTTTTGCTTCATTGCGTGAATTGCCTGTTGTGAGTTTCCGTTTCTTTGATCAATTTGGTGCACTGAATTTCGTCCTCTGTTACTTCAATTATCGATTTGAAGTAGCTTAACCGTTATTAATATCTGTGTTTTGGCTGATTTGTTCTTCACAATTCAGTAGCGTAGCGTTTTTACTTTATATCAGTTGTCATGTTTGTTTGTTTTTTTTTGGCTGGAATTTAACGGTTTCTGAACAAACATTGCAATTGGGTTTTGTTTTCCTAATTAAATTATGAATTTTTTTCTATATGAGGGGTCGTATCTTTTTTTAACCTAATGATGTTTTGATTCTGATTACAGTGATAACTTGGGGAAGCAGGATGCCGGGCGTGCGGTATTTGCCTCCTGTAAACACGTTAGAGCAAAAGTTACAGATTGAAAAGAGGCTTGGTAGCGTAAAATCATGCAAATACTTTAGTCTTCTCACGAAATTTCTCAGTCTCAAAATTAGTAAATCTGAATTTGATAGGCTCTGCATAGCAACTATTGGTAGAGACAATGTTCCGCTTCATAATCATTTTATCAGGTCAATCTTGAAAAAAGCGTCTCTCTCCAAGACAGCCCTGCCAAGAAATAGCACAGTGGAAGGTTCTTTGAATGTCAAAACGCCCAATGGGTGTAACAATCTTCAGTTTCTGTGCAAGGATTTTCTTCAATCTCCTCGGAGAGGTAGGACTCCAAACTTGCGTTGCCGCAGATTCAGGGACCGTCCTAGCCCTCTTGGTCCTCAAGGGAAGAACAACGACATTGGGTTTGAGGATTCGGCCCCTAAAATTCATGAGCAGCAAAACACTGTTGGTCCTCAAGGGAAGAACAACGACATTGGGTTTGAGGATTCGGCCCCTAAAATTCATGAGCAGCAAAACACTGTTGATCTACATTCTGTAGGTAGCAAGCGCCCTCTATCTCTGGAAGATGGGGAGGAGGTTGATGAGGATTCTGAAAGCCTGAACATATATAGAAGGAGTCCTGTTCGTGCGCCTTTGGCAATTCCCACCTACAATAAAAGAGCACGAAAACTTTCATGTAAAGGATTACCATCCGATACCGTTACTGATACCTGTAAAAGCATTGGTCAACTGCCTGATGCACCTTCTTTAACAAAAAGGTTGGAGCAGAAATTGGAAATGGAAGGATTGATGATATCAGCGGATGCAGCCAACTTGTTAAATAATGCGCTTGATGTTTACCTCAAAAGATTGATTAAACCCTGTTTGGATTTAGCTGCTTCAAAATCGGGAAATAAATTTAGTGGTCCAATCCAATCTGGTTTGTATGGGCTACCTATTGGTAGGCGTGTGCAAAAGCCAATTGGATCTGTTTCTGACTTTAGAACAGCAATAGAGTTGAATCCTACTATACTAGGGGTAGATTGGTCACTACATTTTGAGAAGGTTTGCCTACGTGCATCCGAAGAATGAACTAAAGCAAGTTCAACATTGTACTGATCCAAGCTATAGTTTGAGTTTTCCTCAAAGTTAGGATATTGGAATGGGTTAAATCCTTTCTGAATCTGATATTGGTTTTTCTCTCATAAATTGCAGACGAAATATTAGTGTAAATATGGGAAGTTTTGAATTCGGTGACCATTCTGTACAGGTTTCAGTGCTGACTGTTTTGGTTTGGAACATTATGACATGTTAAATCATAAAAATATTGCCAACTGTAAGAATTAGGGATCTTCTAGATATCTGTAGGTTATCTCTTTATTTCATTATGATTCTTTTTTTTATAAAACATATATTCAGTCTTTCAAGACCTAGAGTTGTGTTCCTCAGTGTTACTATTTCTGAGTATCATTGATGTGGTGTGTGGTAAATTCTAGCTTTTTCTATATATGCTTGTATAAAGATACTCATGAATTTACATCTACAATGAAAATGTCATCCTTTTAGTTTGTTTCAATTGCATGCAAACTGCTCTTCATATGTGTAAATAGCAGGACATATGAAAATGCTTGTTTTGCTCCACTTTGTTTTATTTGTGCATTTTCTAGAGGTTGAAATTGCAAAGCATGAAAGAAAAATGAAAGATCCCACTGAAACCATTTTGTTTTTGAAAAATGCATATTCAAGCAGTACTAAGTTTTGTTATTTTACCTGCGCTGTTTAGGGATCTAGAGATGTAAATGCTTTCTATGTAACAGTGTTCTATTTTTTTTTATCGCAACAGCTATAAAAGTAATATATAACAGTTGGTAGGGGTGGTGTTGTTCTTTCTTCCAGGGATTGAATTTCATGCAATTAACCTGAAAATCACAAATGTGCTTTTTCTTGTTGGGTATAAAATACTTGAATGTGCAATTACATGCTTGGATTTAGATTCCTAGCAGTTAGTTTCTGATTTCTGCATACTTTAGTTGTACTTTAGATATGACTCAGAGTCCGTAACCTGTCAACCTGTTGGTTTTAACTTCTTGGAAATGTCTATCTTCAACAGAAGTGAATGTTAGTTTGCCTCAATTGAAACAAATTTATAATAGTCTTTTAGATTCTAATGTAAAGCCTCATTCATTCATTTTATTTCATTTTGGTGGTGGGGAAATGATGATCCTATGTGACTGCAATCTTAGTTAATTAAGAATCTTGAAGGTTAATAAAATTTTGGCAGTTTCCCTGTTATGGTGAGCAGCAAGAGTCATGCTCTACCTTGTAGATAGGTAAATCGAAAAGCGCGTTAGTTTTAAATATTGCTAACCTTCTGTTTCAAATTTCACTTATACTTCTACTTCAATATGAATTATTTATTGGGTTCTATTGGAATTTGTGTTTGCTTTGGATAACTTAGATGGTTTTTGCCTTGCTTCTTATATGTGATGTTTTAAGTGTATATAATTGCCCATGTTCCTACGAGCTTTTGTGATTCCAGAGTCTTTGTAACATTCCTCTATATCACACTTCAAGTTGAGCCATGTGTTGGAGAATTTGGCATTCAACTGAGCAGAATGGGATGTGTATCCTAGCCTTGCCCAAATAATTTATCCACTTTCTTTGTGGAGGAGATATTTGGATGACCAGTGAGTTTTTGTTGATGATAAGGGTTACTTGCAAGTTAAGCGATGTCTCTTACCAAGTTACATAGTGTATCTTTTACCAATTTTTCCTGAAGCATTTGTTTGCTGATTGTTTTTGTTAAGTGAAGGTATTTATTGCTTGTTATGGACATGGTTTTTCAACACCTGGCTCTTCAATCTTTTTTGTGTATAGGTCGGTTGTATGCAGATGGTTTGTTTAGACTACTCTTTCTTCACCATCCCTGGTTGGCTCAACTTGTTGAAGGGATTCAGAAAAGGCTCTTAACGCCCTAATAAGTGAATGAATTTAAATTTACCCTTTACCTGGTGGTTAACCCTTCCTAAGTAGATTTCCCTGCGCCTAGCCTTTGATTGGTGAACCTTTTGTGGCCTTATAGGTAACTTATCCTCACCACAACTTTTTCTTACCCAAAAGCAAGAAAGACTAGTCTGTCTGTCTGTCTTTTTTCTTCAGTTTTTCTTGTTTTACCATTTGGTTTAAGGAATCAATACGATTTTTTAATTTAGTTTCTGACTTCCGAAAATCTCTTTTATATTGATGTGGTCCTTGTCTTAGCCCCTCTTTTGAATTTTGTTAGATCCTTCTTGTATGTTTGATGTCCTTCATTATGGTGTATTATGCATTTCCAAGTTATCATTTTTCGCATATTTTATTTTATTTTATTTTCTTTTTGGGTGATGGAATTGTTTTTATTTTATATAGAAAATGGAGGACACAAAGTGCAAAGACAAGATCGTCCTGGTCCACGTGATTTTGAAATTGATTGCGATCATAATTAATACAAATACGGTCAGCAAATTTAACTTAATAGGTTTACACTTGCTTGTTTGTTTGTTATGCCGTTGTATTCGTGCGGTGAAGTTGATTGTCACAAGCCAACAGACGAAGAAAAAAAAAATTAGAAAATTGCCAGTTGAGTAAGCTTATCTAGAAAACTTAAATTAAACATGAAAGAAAAAATATTTGCATAAATCCAATTTTTTTAATGGTATGTTTGGATAATGAAGACTGGAGTAAAGGAAAGATTTTAGGTAAACTTTCCTCACGTCACGTCAAGAGTTTTATGAAACGATAACAAGAAAACGAGAGATGCACAAGTGATCTAAAATCCATTTACTCATTTTATTTGAATAAATTCAAAATTCTTAATTTTGAGAACTTTGAATTATTTGGAACATTCAAACAAAGCAAAACCCAACCTTAACCTTTTCTCTTTCCTTACATTCCTTTCCTGCACATCCAAACATTTCTTTATTATCCGGAAACAAATTTATTAACAACAAATAATCTACCTACTCCTTGCGACTTTCCCACATTAAAAATTGTAAAATGCATTTCACCAAAAAAAAAAAACATGTACTATTTGATTTGAGACTTTGTGTTCAATTAAAGCACGGAACAATCGGTACGAATTTTTCCATTTGCTGCATTCTTGACTCCAACGCGACCCAGTTTGGTCATGGCAGCAATGAAGTTGTTATTGAAAGTGTTGCTATTAGAAGCAAATGAATTAACAGTGGCCCTGGACCTTGTGTCCGTGAAGAGGATTTGATCGGAAGTGAAGAGACCCTTCCCTTGCTGAAGGTTCTGGTAATAAACATTGTCGAATGTACGAGGAGTGGTTGGGTCCATGTTGATGGCTATCCTTGGATCCACATTCCTTGGGCACATTTGTTGTAACTGTGTTGCGTATTGCTTGTTCAATGTTGGGTCCACTGGACTTTTGGGACTGAAGTTGTATATTCTATTGGAGAACCTGTTACAGTGGGAGAATCCAAGGGTGTGTGCCCCTACAAAATGACAATTGAAATTGAATTGGCACGTTGATAGAGGAAGGAAAAGCGCAACACTACAAAGAATTGGCCCTATATTGGTTCACATTTCAAAATGAGGATTCATTTTCACAATTTTTCTGACTGGTTTTTGCATGTGCGATGTTATTTGAATTATTTGGATTGGATGCTTAGGCCCTTCGTTGGGTTTCGAGAAATTTCAAAGTATATATTATTTATTTATTTTTGTACACCAATGACCAAACTAATAAACACATAATTTATTTGATAAGATTTCAATTTAAAATGTACAAATAATTGTGTTTTATTATATTTAATATACAAATTATTTAGCCGATGGGAATCAAATAGTTTTTTAAACAATTCAAGCTAATGTTGTACAATCAAATGTTTTATACTTAATTTTGATTCACTATTTAGGTATGAAATTTTTCCGAGTTTGCTGGCATAGTTAAACTTTTTAATAATTTATTAGAAATTGTATTTTAAAATTTACTTCAATAGTGGATTAAAAGTAAGAATTTATTTTTGATGTACTGTCACTGTCAAAAAAAATTTACATTTTCAATTAATAATGTGCTATTATATCATTTATTAATTTTGTCAAATTTGTTAAATGATGTGTGAGCACTGAGCAGTCAATACATTAATGAATGATAATATAGAAACAAAAATTACATTAATACAATATCAAAATTAAAGTCTAAAACCAAACTCAAAAAACTACAATTAAACTTTATGTAAGCGACTAAGGTTAATTATATATACGGTGTATCAATATATCTATCAAAATAATTCTCCTGCAAAATATATACAAAATAAAAAATCATGATAATGGGAAGATTATTAACTACTCATGTATAAAGAAAATCTCTTATTCTTTATTAAAAATCATTTCAGTCATGGGGTCATGATTTGTTTATATTTTAACTATATTTTTAATGAGGAAAATATTCTTACTATAAAAAAAAATTCACTAACTATCTAATTACTATTAGATCAGTATTTTCTCTCTTCAAAGAATTTTCAACATTCTCTTTCTGATTAAATAGTGATTAAATAAGTAATAAGAATATTCTCTTCATCTTTTAATCTCATAACTAAAATAATATACATCTAATAGCAGGAAATAATAAAACTTTTGGTGCATAAGCACCTAAGAAATTCTATGTGCTTTAGGGGACCACTTAAGAACATTCACGGGCATTACCTGAGAGGGCAATCATGTCAGTTTGGGAGAGCCCGTTTGCCGCAAACAGTGAATTCAGCTGATTCAAATTAAAGCCTGGCTGAGGAAGCCTTCCATTTACATCTGAAGCTCTTGAAACTAGTCCATCAAATCTTCCCAATTCAACCGTATAAGAAGGTCCACCAGCCTGCATATTCAGTTAATTACATCTACTAATTATTAATTAAGCTCCTAATTAATCACAAAATCCAAATAATGTTCACTCGAATTTGAATTATTGAAGAACAAAGTCACAAACCAATGCAACAACATCCCGGGTTGCCAAGGCTAGAATATCAGCACATGAGACTTTGTTCCTGCACTGTGGTACAGCATCTACTGCTGCTTTTGCTTTTATCACTGTGTCAAATCCATCACCCGCCAATGACAGATTGTCAGAGTTATCCTTCTCTGCTTGGTTGTTTCCTGTGGATGCTACCATAATTGAAGCATCACAACCCTGTTATATTGTAAACACAACAAAATTATTACTTAGAATTTTAATGAGTTCAACAAGGTATATCTCATTCCACATTAAACCATGACTAGTACTAACGGGTGAGGTGAGGACGATTCTTATGCGCATTCTTAATTTTACATAATTGTAAAGATACTGTTTTTCGAATTCGAATCCGTGACCTTTCGGTTATAAAAGAACAATTTTAACACTTCTCGAAACTAATAAAAAAGTTACATATATTACTTATACGTAGGGGTTATATTGACAAATTTTTTTTCTTACAAACTTATAAATTACACTAAGTCTGACTGGTCAGACTTCAACCAAGAGTGTATGACCGTCAGACTTAGTGTAGTTTGTAAGAAAAAAGGTTTGTCAATATAATCTTCCCCTTCCTTATAGATAGTAAGCTAATAAAGAAGTTATGAAATTGATTACCTGGACAAAGCAATCGTGAAAGAAGAGACGAAGGGTAGCAGGAACAGTAACAAATGTTTGTTGGAATTTCTGTTGAACAACTTGTCTAACGATGCTTTCAACATTGGGGCAGATTTTAGCATAGTGGTTTGGACTAAGCTGAGCAGAAGTAAGATAAGGATAAAGACACAAACTTAATAATGAGAGTGAACAAACAAGTATAAGATTAAGCCGACCCATTTTGCAGCTTTTGTGGTGGGAGATAAAGAAGGACAAGAAAATGCAGAGATTTTTTTGTTGTTGCAAAGGAGTGAATGATGTTTCAGTGGTAAAGCATAAGGGGGTATATATGAACTATGAAGTCCGAAGTTGACGTGGTAACGACTCATAAGCCAGTTGTCTTCGAATCTTTTCAACATTATTTTTTTACAGCAAGAAAGTTTATTCTTTATTCTTTGAATAATAATAGAAACAATAGTTGGGCTTCGAAAGGGACACCGATCATGAGGTTGGCTATGTCTATGGCCGCCTCGCGTTTCATTCAAATCAATGCTTTAATCTTCGAGTTAGGACTTAGGACCATGGAACGGATCTTATTTGAATCCAAATTTTCCAACTTGCTTAAAGTTGTCGACCAAGTTCAGTTAGCATTTAATAAATCAAGAAGAAAAAAAAGTTAGGGGCTCCTCAAATTTAACACTGGAATATGGTGTAAAGTTTAATTTGCAAATATATACGAGAAATATAATGTGTAACTTGGGTTGAATTATTTACTTTACATAAACCACACGCGGTTGAAATATATGTGCGCTCACAGATTTAATAAATAATCAAAATCAAAAGAGCTTGAAGCACATCACTTTTAGTTTTGAGCAGGGGAGCCACCGACTGTATATACATCACCATATCATCCTGAAAAGTAATGAAAATAGAGTTTTTTTAATACAATAATGGAAATTGAACACATAATCTAATACAAATTACTTAAATCTCTTATCACTGGATAAATCATAGTGGCTTATGAAAATAGAATTTTTACACTACGAGGAACCATATATTTTAAAGTTACGGACAGAAGTTTAGTTTGACTGTTGAGGAGACACTGGTCGGTTTTATAACTATTAATTGGTAGGGTATTAATTAGGCCATGTCCTCTCTTAAGAGCCTCATGACATGTGATGAGGGAAAAGACATTCGCCCTTAGCAGATATAGAAAAAGAGTAATGTTTGTTCATCCAATAAATTGTTGCATTCAAATTATTAATTGCACATACATAACATTGGTTAGATTATTACATGTGGAGAGTGTAGTTCAACTGGTATCTATACTTTGATCGTTGTCAGGGATTGTGATTAATTATTATGCGGGAGTTCGATAGGACACACTCCCATTTATTTTTATAGGATTTTTTAATTTAATGCGATGTTGTCTCTATACAATTTTTTGGAAATGAACGGAAATTCAAATTCTAAACGTGAAAAATACTACTTTTCAACGAAGGAGGTAGTGGGGGGAATAATATCCTTCATATTATGGATTAGCTTACCTGTATATTAATTTATCTCTTCGATTCCATAAAAAGTCATTCATGTTATAATTAGAAAATTTTGAAAATATTTGCAGACTAACTCTAAATAATTAACATATTAGAATATAAATTTATAATCATATACTTATCACACCACGTACTTGAATGCCATTAAAACAACCCCTTAATTAGCTTTTCCTTAAATATATTTTTGTACAAATGATTTCAAGGTGTTTTTCTATTATTATTATTTTTGTAATTTTCTTGTGAGATGCCTTATCCTCTAACTTTGTACTCTTCTTTTCTTTTTTAATGGAATTTCTTCTAAAATCAATAAAAAAATTATTTGTTGGACAATTATTTTGATGGCCATGTGTAGATACAGACATTTCTCCCTGTAAGCAATCAAGAAAACTATTTGTTGAGGAGCATAGTCTTTTTTTTCAAAAAAATTGTTGATCAGATAAGTTCGATCTGGATTATAAATAATATAGGGATGATGAACTGTCCGTGATTCTTATTAAAACAACTTGTAGGCAATTTTAATTTTTTTAAGCCATTTTGTCGGATAGTATTAAGCTTATGACTCATAACTTTTAAACATTGCCCATGGCAATAACGCTACCAACCAAAAACTAAAAATTGGGCAATGGGGTATTTGTTAGAGGAAATTATTTTTTTATCCGAGAATCATGATGTCCAAGAATATAGAGAAAAATGAAATTTATGGGAATATTATCAAAAAATTGTTTGATATGTCAAAATATTCATGATAATGTTGGATTAATTTTTTTGATACTATATTTGGTTGATTGTAAAATATTGCTGGAATGTGGATTGAGATTAATTATCTCCAAAAAATTATCAAATATTCTCATCACATGAGATTATCAAAATATCATCCATTTGATGGTATTTTAAGATATAATTTTTCTTCATAAATATGAATATCGGGAATCTGACTTTTTCGGAAAATGTTTTACAAACTTTATACTAAACGTGGGTAAATCGAATTCTCAATATCACTTTTTAAGAATTTAAAAAAATTTCTTTCTACCAACCTAAGGGTAGCTTAGCGAGTGCCAACGGGTTTGCTTTCGTCAGAAACTCAAATTTTGATCAAAGTAAATTTTTAAAATTCTTTGAAATCAGAGGAAAATCGGTTCCATCTCGTAAGGGGGATTAGTTTCACATTTTCTCCCGTGATAGTAGTTCAACGCATTCTATATTTCAATAAAAAATTAGTCTTGGGGCATACTCCAAAAATAAAATAGTTAAAGGAGATTGTCCGAGGATACTTTCAGATTATTTAAAAATAAAAACAAAAACAAAAACCATCCCCCCAATGATATTAAAAAGAAAAAGAAAAGTCAAGTAGAGGATGCTAATGTGAGTCATAGAATGTAAGCAACTAAGGCAGTTTGTGGTGTTGTGAACCACATGTTCTTTACACTGCCGTGGGAGATAAACGATTTGGGTAACAGTGGTTCGAAAAGGAAAGAGGTCAATTCAAACATTATAAGCTAATTACCCATGTGCAACTACTTTTAATAATTGGCAGCTCATGCACGTAATCTCATTCTTAACTTTATGTCTTTATCTTTGACTTTTCCAGCTCCCTAACTTGCTTCGTTTTTTTCCCTCTTGCTCTTGCAAAGCTTGAATGGTTTCTTAGGTTGGTTTAAGTTCTTATCTAATCATTGTGGTTCAGGTTTTTCCTGGTACAGAGTGTATGGGTGCGTTTGGTTTGAGTAAATTTTTTGTTTTTATTTTTATCTATTATTTTAAAAATATTATTTTGTTTGCATTTTATTTTATTCTTTATAAACATTTTACTAGTACTCTTGTCGTTTGTCGTATTCGTTGGTTTACAGTGTCTAATTTATGATTGGGCACATTCAAGAAACAACAAAAGAGAACGCTACAAAAAGGTACTTTGCTAATAATGTCACAATTATACAGATTTGAACCAATATTTTATATAAGACCACTTGTATTCATTATCTGTATATTTTACTCAACATAATATTGCTTGTCTTTATTTGCCATATTCTCTAATGCCTATTGTGTATATATACACATATATGTATTATTTGGATGAATAGCTTCTTCAAAGATGGTAGAAATTAATTGATTAATTAATAACATTTGATGTGTCATTAATAATATTCTATTGGTGTTTATTATTTAATTAATTTTAAGGAAAAATTATTATTACTTTTACTAAAAAATTAATAACTATAAAAGTACATATGATCACGAGTTTTAATGTACTTAAAATTTGAATATGAGGTGACATTTATATTTTTTAATTTCAACTAAATAATTGTTTTTTCTCTCTCTTAATATTGCAAAAAAAAAAACAAATTACTTCAAACATATAAATGCAAAATTTAACCGCCTAGAATGACCCTTGTCTTTTTTTCCCAAGTAAGAAAATCCTATGTCTCTATCTTAATTCCAAGCATCGGTAAATATAATTGTCATATGTATGGTTCTCTCACAATTGTAACACTTTACTTTAGACATATATAATAGAAAACTATTTAAGAATTACTCAAGATGATAATAAAATCTTTAACTGAATCATTTTCACGAAAATTTAAAAAGCATTCTTAATCTAGAAGAATCAAAAGACATCATGACAATGATGTACTAACCAATAAATTATTTTTTCTCATCCTCCTTCTAATTTATAAGAATCTTTTGATGAGCATAAATTGAAGGGTTTGATTAATCTCATGTTAAAGAAGATAAGTTATCTCATGTCATAGAGATAAATTTTTGGGCTCTACCATCTAAAAAATAAAAAGAAAAAGGTGGCACAGTTATCGAAGGGTGTGTAGGAGAGAAAGTTATCACATGTAGCATAAGAGTAGTTTTTCCCTAAATTGAAATAATAGCTAACATCTTAGGGCTCATTTGGTGGACAGGATAGGATAAATGTAGGATATGATATGAGGCTGATAAGGATAGGATATGATATGGGGCTGATAAACATATATCATGTCCTGTGTTTGATGAGCACATGATTAGCAATCTGATAAGATTATGTAAAAAGAGAAAGGAGAGAAAAAAAACAAAATATAATGCAATAAATATAAATATATTGGGCAACGTGGGGATATATTGGGTAACGTGGGGATATATTGGATAACGTGGGAATATATTGGATATCTAGTATTGGTATCCTGTCCTATTGAATCTTAATCCAGCTCCCCCCATAGGACAAGAAATCATGTATTAGATAGGATAAAATGAGACAATAGGATAAGCTAATCATATCTATTGACCCACCAAACAAGAGATAAAAGTAAGATATATATGATAAATTATCCTATCTTATCTTCTTTATCAGGTGCTCCAAACAGGCTCTTAATAATCAAAAACTATTGTAATTGTTAGAGATATATAAATTCATTAATTTAGCATCAACCATCAGCTTAAGATTTTGGATTGAATTGATTCTTTATATGGTATCAGAGCCTCGGTGTCACAGGTTCAATCCTCACAGTTCCCTATTTAATTAATAATTAATTAAATTTTGTGGAGTTTCTCAGCACAAATAAGTGAATCTGTGCATTGTCTACCATTCAAGCTCAATGAGCTTTCGTGTGAGATATAACACCATTAATGTAGCCTCACTCATCAGCTTAAGCTTTTGGGTTGAATTGGTTCTTTACACAGTATTTCATATAATCGTGAAATATTATAACATTATCTCATATAAATGAGAAAATAATATAATAATATATTTTAAATTAATTTTAGTATATATACTTTTTGTATTAATTTTTTAATTGTCAAGGGTTAGTTCATGATTTTCTTTTTTTCTTTTTTCTCCAGATTAAGTTTTAAATGAATTTTTGTTAA